GGTGTCCCTGCAGAGGAGGTGTCCCTGCAATGAAGGGTGTCCCTGCAGATGAAGGTGTCCCTGCAGAGGAAGGTGTCCCTGCAATGAAAGTGTCCCTGCAGATGAAGGTGTCCCTGCAATGAAGGGTGTCCCTGCAATGAAGGTGTCCCTGCAGAGGAGGTGTAAATGCAGAGGAGGGTGTCCCTGCAGAGGAGGTGTCCCTGCAATGAAGGGTGTCCTGCAGAGGAGGTGTCCCTGCACAGGAAGATGTCCCTGCACAGGACGGTGTCCCTGCAGATGCAGCGGTCCCTGCAGGTGCAGCTGTCCCTGCAGATGCAGCGGTCCCTGCAGAGGAAGCTGTCCCTGCAGATGCAGCTGTCCCTGCAGATGCAGCGGTCCCTGCAGATGCAGCGGTCCCTGCAGAGGAAGCTGTCCCTGCAGATGCAGCTGTCCCTGCAGATGCAGCTGTCCCTGCAGGTGCAGCGGTCCCTGCAGGTGCAGCGGTCCCTGCAGGTGCAGCGGTCCCTGCCCCGCTCTCCGCCCCGCCGCTCCCCGGTACCTGGAAGGCCGGCGGGGCCTCCCCGGGCGGCCACAGCGCCACGGCCACGGCCTCGCTGCCGCCGCTCAGCTCCGCCATGCCCGCGCCCGCCCCCGCCGCCAAAGCTCCGCACCCATTGGCTGCGCGGGGCCGGCGCCGCGCGCTGATTGGGCGAGGCGGTGACTGACAGCTGCGCCAGGGGGCGGTGCCGTGCTGCACGGGTCCGCCCTCAGCGGGGCGGGCGCTGTGAGGGAGCCCCGGCCCCGGCCCCGGCCCCGGCCCGCTCCCGGTCCGGCCCCGCTCCCGTCCCACACCGACCCCGTCCCATCCCGGCCCCGCTCCCGTCCCACACCGACCCGGTCCCGTCCCGGTTCCGGCCCTGCTCCCGTTCTACCCCGGCCCGGTCCTGCCCAGGCCCCGCTCCCTCCGTGCCCGCGGCCCCGGCCCCGTGCGGTGCGTGCCAGGCCTCGCCCCCGTGGTCAGCGTTAATCGCAAACCACGGAGCGGTGTTATTCCTCACGTGCCTCTCAAGCCCTGCTTATTTTCAAGGTGTTCGGGTTTTAATTTTTTTTTTTTTTTTTTTAAACAAGTTAATGTGTCTGATGAGTGAATGGGATCCCGAGCCCTTATCCAGGGGAGGCAGTGCCACACGCTCCTGTCCTGGATGAGAACAGCCATGGCCGTTGTCAAAAATAGGTTAGAAACTGTTGTAAAATACTTAATAATTGTTGAGCGTATACTGCTAAAAAGCTTGACTATTATATTGTAAAGGGGTTAAAAGGGTAGTTATACAAAATGCAGTACTCAACCTACCTAAAGTGTACCACCCCCCCAAGTGAACCTGGACAGAACTGTAATGTGTCAATCAAACACCTTAAACCTCCATGCAAATGAAGGATCCCAACAGAAACCAATCCAAAGGAACAAAAAACAGGATAAAAAGGGGGGCATCCATGTCGCTATTGGACACAAAATGAGTACACAGAAGCTTACTAAGTTCAAAAGAGAAAAAGAGAAAATTTTATTTCTGACCTCATAATATAAAGAATTCCAAAAGTGACAGTGGATTGGAGGATGGAATTGCCACCTCTCCAACCACACTGGTCAAACCAACAGCCCATCAATTCTCTCCTCTTACAAAGAAGAATGCAAAACAATCATTATTTACATGAACATGTGTGAGAACTGCAGTAGAAATATGTAAACATCAGAATGCATAGAAAATTTTAAAAAGAACTTTAAAACTTTCAAAAGGACTATAAAAGGAAACCTAACACTTTTAAAAATCAGGACAACACATCTGACCCGGTGAATCCGTGCTGCTCCACCTGGAACATCGGGGACATCACTGCTCAAGAAAGGAAGAACATCCGTGCTGCAACATCCTTGATGGGAACACTCCTGCTCCACCCACAGCCCCCGTGCTTTAGGCCTTATTATAATAAATATTATTAAATTACTAAATAGAAATGCTGAAATCACTTTAGTACCCAGAGCGTGTTCCTGTTTCTAATAGCTGGGGGTTGTGGCTTTTGGCAGGACATAATCCAGCCAAATCCATGTTCTGCATGATGGGAGACACAAATCCATGGAAACAAGTTGTGGCTTGGGATCACACAGAGGTTTGGGTTGGAAGGGACCTCAGAGCTCACCCAGTGCCACCCTGCCATGGCAGGGACACCTCCCACTGTCCCAGGTGGCTCAGCCTGGCCTTGGGCACTGCCAGGGACAGCCACAGCTGCTCTGGGCGCCTGTGCCAGGGCCTGCCCGCCCTCCCAACCAGGAATTTATTCCCAATCTCTCATCTCCAGCTGGCTCGGGGAAGTCCTGCCTGTGCAATGTGTGACATTCTTCTAAAGCATCTCACACGGTCTGTTTCTCAGCTGGAAACTGCCCAGCCTGCAATGCCATGCTGGGAGTTCCATGGGCTTTTGTACTTACCCCAGCTCAGGTGTTTTGGGTTTGAGGTTGATGAAGCTGTTAGATGTTTCACCTGCTGTTTTCCATGTGTTTCCATTTGGAACTCAATTAGCACACCCATAAATAAGCCCTCCACAGAGCTGGCAGTCAGAAGTTTTTGGAGTGAGTTCTGTGCTCCTCCAGGAGGATGTTACTTGTGGCTGCTTTTCCCTGAGGTGGTTACTCTCCTGGCTTTTCTGATCCCTCTTTCTGCAACGTTTAAGAAGTGGCAAGTTGTTGCCTCTTTTGTTTCCTTCCTCCTGTCTGGAAAAAGGAGCTGAGCAGCAGCAGCAGCAGGAGAGTTGCTGGTGAGTTTGGACAATGAAATCTGTGCTTATGGGGGATAATGGGGATAGAGAGTTGATGTGAAGGTAATAGGGTGTTGTTTGTTGGGTAACTGAAAGGATTATTTTTGCACTGGGCCTGTAAGAGAAGGGGAGGTATGCAAGAGGTACTTTGGGAGGTCTGTGCTTGCCAATGTCTGGCCTATCTAATTCTGGGGAAGACTTTAATCAGTTTAAAGTTGTGCTACTTGTGTTTTATTGTTGGTCATGGTGGAAAAATCTGAACACAGCCTGTGGTGCTGGGTTTGTCCCCCCACAGCTGCTCACGGTGCCTCCTTGGGTGGCTGCTCTCACCTGGGAGCCCTTTATAGCCTGGGGGAGGCAGATCAGCTGTAGGAGAGATGCTGAAATGCTGAATGAGTGGTGATGTTAAAATGTGCTTCAGCTTAGGGCTTTCTGTTATTACCAAGTTGACCTTTAGATCAAGACACTAATTTGGCTGCTGATAGAATTCCCTACCATTTTGAGATGACTGAAGTAACAAGCCATTACTCTGTTGTAGAAGAAACAGGTTGCTCGTATGTACAGGAGAGGGGTTTGGTAATCTGCAAAAGGTCACGGAAAATCCAGTGTTTTCCTCCTCCTTATCTTACCCAGAGCTCTGTTCTGTTGGACTATAAATGGATGAAACTGTTGAGAGGCCCAGGATGGGTGAAAAATGGATGAAAACTCCTTTTGTTTATTATGCAAAATTGTTGTGGAAGGATAGCTTAAAATGGAGCTGGAGGAGTGAATTGAAAGTGAACTTTGTGATGCTGATCTGAGGCACCTGGGAATTTCTTTTGCAGCCTCTGTGATGAGGCTGCAAATCCCTTTTGTTACATTATATGTATTGAACTGTTGAGCTTACCCCCATATAAATAATACTTTGTGGCCCCTCTCTGTGCTTCTTTAGAATTCATAATATTCTTCTGAAAACTGGAATTTGGAAGGCTAGCTCTGCTTGAGCTGTCAGTTTGTGTCTCCACCTTGCTCCACAGAATTTTGGTGGCTGAGGCTGTGTGTAGCACCAAGGTGGTGGACCTTGAGAGGTGTGAGCCTGTGGCTTATTGACTGTGCTTCAGGGAGGTGTGCTC